CACACACAGGACGTAAAAGTGGTTAATTTACAGAATTCTGGAAATGAACTGGGACAAAAATAGACTCTGAAAAATGTTTAAGATTTTTTGCAAATAAGGGTAATAAAGCTTGATTACTCCAACAATGTCTTACAAAGGCTAGACGCTCTCAACATACAAGGAAGGATGAAGGGCAGTCAGGAGCCTGGGACCTGGCTGCCAGCTGGATCTCCCTCCCCCTGCCCGCCTCACCTTCAGCCCGGTGTAGAGGTCCCGGTGCAGCCGCTCCATAATGAGCAGCACGGCGATGCTGGAGCCACCACCGTAGCTGTAGTCGATGACAGAACCATGCAGGTCCACCAATCGCTCATGCTTCGGCAGAGACCTGGCGGGAAGGAGAGAGGTCTGGGCTACAATGCACAGAACCACAGGTACTGGCCCTCAGTACAGACAGAGGGCAAAGAGAATGGCCTCTCAAACAAGGACAGAGAATTATGGAATCGAAAAATTGATAGGCATCAAGAACTAAGGAAGAAAGTCAAATGGAAGAATGATCTGAGGATGTTGGGAAAGGGCAGGCAAAGACAGCAAAGGCCTTGTAGAGAACAGTTCCGGGCCAGACACAGAAATACTGGTCTACCACTTTCTGAGACCCAGTGTGGAGAGACAAGGCCTGCTGTAGCTCTTGTTACAAAACGTATGCCAGGTTCCCGGCTTCTTCTCTGGATCTTTTCCCATAGAGGTGAATGAGACCCCACCCACCTCATGTAGTGAAACTCCAAGGCCAGGTCATTCCAGTGCTTCTCATCTGGAGGAACCACCGACTTGAGGGCACAAGGGAAGTGTCCCCCCCAGTTGTCACACAGGTATACCACACCATACTGGCCCCGGCCCAGTTCCTGTCCCAGTTTAGGTTTACCTACAAGATATAGACACAGAGATAAGTCAGGAGGGATGGGAACTTGCTGGGCAACCTCCCTAAGATTCGGAGCCATGGACCTGCCTAGAGGCAGGAAGTCCTAATTATGCTTGGGGAAGAAATTCTGATGTCATCCTAAACCAGCAGAAAGTAACCTAACTGGTTTGATTTAAATAAACCCTGGTCACATTATTTGGACTACATAAACAGCAGAACCAAACACACTTCAGGAATGCAAAAACACATCAGGAAGTACTAGGCAGCTTCGCAAGGAAGCAGCTCTGGACACTTGGACTCTCCAGGGCTGGACATGAGAACCCTCTTTCAATTTACTTGCGGGGGCAAAAAAGGACTCACGATGCAGCAAGACATCCTGTAAAGAACGGCTCTCCAAAGAAAGGCGGGCCAGGCGGGGGGCGTGATCTTTCCGAACCTTCAGCCACAGATCCTCAGTTTTCTCCAGGCGGCCTGAGTGGCCAGCTTCCAGCTGGGAGGACACACGGAAAAAAGACATGACCTATTAAGTCCCCAGCTCTGGCTTTCTCCCCTCTTATATAGGGATCGTATCTGCCTCATAAGGGTAACTGTGAGAAGTAAGGTGTATGTAACATATTTAACTTAGAGATCAGTCATAATGGGCTCTCGACAAGTAATAATTTTTCCTCCTGATGCATATCACATCCACCCACCTTCACCCAACACACACATATCACACACACATACACACACACACACTCCCCAGACAAGCAGATGTCATATAACTGCAAATTAGTATTGAAGTTGGAAAGGCATCCCTTTCTGTCATCATTCCTAAAATACTATATAAACTTATATAAAATTCCTGCCCTGTGATTTTCATTCTGTACTCACTGAAATGGGGGAAAATTACCTGACTCCCTGCATTCTCCCTAAAGTGAGAACAGAAAAATAGCCACATGAAAAACTTACTGATGGAACTTCCTGTGACATGATATTACCTTTAATGGAACAGAAAGAAAATATACTGATGATTTTTTTTAATTATGTGCAGAGCAGAGAGTAAAATATTCCCCAATGGGTGAGGTTCTTTGCTGCTTGATCCAGCTGCATCTCCTTCCCTACATACCCACCTGCCTCAAGGAGGCTGCAAAAGCCTCATGAGAACTATTAAGCCGGGTGCGGAACTGGCTGCAAATGCTTTTGGCCAACTTGGAGGCACTGAGGCTCTCAATGGCTTCCTGGGCCACCTTCCTCTTCCATTCTAGTGTGACGGCAGGTGGGCTCACCCATGTGATGCGCTGGATGATCTGCCAGGATAAGAACAGTGAGAACATTCGAGGGATGGGAGACAGAAACCACTACAAAGAACCAATGCTCTCTCTAGGGTATCCATTCTACATTTTTTAAAATATTTTTTTGATTTTTTTTTTTTTTTAGAGAGAGAGAGAGGGGAAGGGAGAAGGAAAGAGAGAAACATCAATGAGAGAGTGAAGCATAGATCAGCTGCCTCCTGCACACCCCCTACTGGGGATCAAACCTGCAACCCAGGCACGTGCCCTGACTGGGAATGGAACTAGCAACCTTTAGGTGCACAGGATGACGCCCAACCAACTGAGCCACACCAGTCAGGGCTCTTTCTTTTTTAAAAATTGATTTGAGAGAGAGAGGAAGGGAGAGAGAGAGGGAGGGAGATATGGGGGGGAGAGGGAGAGAAATATCGATTTGTTGTTTCACTTATTTATGCATTCCTTGGTTGATTCTTGTATGTGCCCTAACTGGAGATCAAACCAGCAACCTTGGCGTATCAGGACAACGCTCTAACCAACTGAGCTACCCAGCCAGGGCTGGGTTATCCAGTCTTAAGACAGGAGCCAAATGAAGTCTAAGACTACTCTCCAATTCTATCTACCTTAAAAAAATCAGGGCCCAGCCCTAAGGAAAGCATTAAAGAACACTAGGCCTAGTCTACGTGCTCACAAACTCTCGATACATTACATCCAGTACCAGGAAGTGACTGATAAATCCCTTTGTGAAGTTAGTAAATGACTCCACTTAAAAGCCAGATCAAATTCCAAAGAAGGAACCACACCCATGGCCTCAGGCAACAAAGCCTGGTTCTGAGAAAACATTTAGGTTGAGACAAAAATATGAAGAAGCTAGGGAAGCAGAGTCTTACAGCTCCATAAAATATCATTTAAACACACTTTTAAGAGTTAACGGTGGCAATGTTAACAACTGCATCAGAATAAGCAAACTAGGAATAACGGCCACTTCGTACTACAGAAGATCCTAGATATTCATTCTGTCGGAGTGACTAGGATTCATTCGAGCCAACTAAGGGCTGACACTTCTTTCTCTAAGGGACCTCTACCTGTTTGATTTGCTCCCACAGCATCCTTGTAACTGAGGACCCTGAGTGAAATGTGACTTCGACGTGATAGGCGGCATTTAAGATCTGAAAGAGAACACACAGAAGAAAACCAGTATGCCCTGAGTCACTTTTTAACAAATGCAATAAACGATATTTACTTCAAGAACATGGTCTGGTCTCAGGGTTCTCAAATTTACCCCTCAATATATGCGCAATGCAAGCTGATCATCTATGCTGACTATTTGGGCCCCTTTTCTTCATTTTCTTGCTCCTTAACTGTAATTGCACAGTTCACAAGCACCTCCCACAGGCAGTGGTCATATGAGAGGAAAACAAAATAAAATTCCAACTGGATCAGCAAAAAGTTGAAAGGGAAATTGTTGGCTAACTTGAAGGTGGGTTTATGTGTGGATTCTGTTTCTTGTGTTATCTGTGACACAGTGTCTTAAACACTCTTTGAGTACCTGCTTGAGATTATTACTGGTGATGTGAACTGAGACATCCTGAGACTTCTCCAGGCTCTGCAGACACCGTTCCAGGGTTCCAACGAAGCTCTCGCGTAGGTAATCCACCGAACTGATCAGCTTGTTAGCTACCGCCTGATTCAGTCGGGAGATGATGAGTTCCTGGATCTGTCGAATGCAGCATTTGATCTCTCTGGTGCCCACTGGTTCCCCATTCTCGGGGATAATCACATCTATGGAGGCAGAGAAATAAGCTACTTGGCTGTGAGCGGAAGGAGCGGGCACACTGAATAAAGGCATCTCCCAGGCCAAGGAGCTACCGTGACAACGGCTATAAAACACATGGTCAGCTGATGAACTCGGACTCTCAGGATGATCAGGGGCCATGTAACCCTCAAGTGCTTAAGGGAGCTAAGAATCCTGAGAAGGAGCAATTGTGTCTAGAATAAGTCTATTGATTTTGTTAGCTTTTTGATCACATTTGTAAGAGGGCAAGAACATTTATTGAGTACACTCTTTGAAAGCACTATAGTTAGTATTTACACATGTAGCCTACATTAATTCTCACAATAACTTTGTCATGTGGGTATTATTGGTTATATTTTATAGATCAGGAAACAGCCTTAAAGAGAAGACAAACTGGGCATTGGGAAGGTACAGTCAGGAAGTACTACAGCCAGCATTTGAACCCGAAGCTCATGAACTCCAAAGCCTCTGATCTTTGTATTTCACACTACCTAGCATACTGACAAAAATCCCAGAGTCAGGAATTCAATTCTAATCAATTACTAGATAAATAAAAAGTAAAACTGGAACACTAACTGCCCCCACCATGTCACTACCTCTCAGGATTAGACACACTGTTTTGCAAGCCAGAGGACAGAAGAAATTTAGAGGAGATAAATTACCTGTGAAAACTCTACTCTTAAAAAGGCACTCTTTTGTTTACTGGTGGAAATTTAGTGTCACCTCTTTGGAGGAAATCTGGCAATATCTACCAAAATTCTAAACTGACCAACCAACAAAAAAACACACCCTATATACCCTTTGACCTAACTACTGTGCTTCTAGAAATTATTTTCTAGAAATATAACCTTACAAGTCCCAAAGATGATCAATGCAGAGCAGTTTGTAACAGTAAAAAAAAAAAAAAAGAAAGAAAGAAAGAAAGAAAGAAAGAAAGAAAGAAAGAAAGAAAGAAAGAGAAAGAACTAGCCTAAATGCCCATCAGTAGGGAAGTAGTTAAAGAAGTTAGGTATATATGTATTAGAAGACAAATTTGTATGCACACTTATGGAAAGAGCTTTGAGATATGAATTAAGTGAAAAGGCAAGGGGCAGAAGACATGGAGAAAAACTGGATGACTGGGGGACAGCATCTTTAAATCTTTAAGTACCATGTTTATGGGTATTATCTTTTAAAAAAAAAGGAATAATTTTTAAAGTATGTATGTCATGATACCAAGTGTGATTGCATTACCTTTATTAAGACAAACGAACAAAAAAACAGTAATAGAAATCTGGCTCCACAGAAGATGTGGTAGATCTCTCCTAAATCTATTTATCGTTGCCTCAAGAACACCCAGAAAGGACTTAGAACGAGGTACGAAGCAGACATGTAAGTTGTGTCTAATATATAGCCAACCAGGTAAGTAGATCAACAAAAATACAATGTAGTTAACAGAGACAGACATTTGATCTACTTGTTCCCAGTTACTCCCATGTCTGTTGAACTAACCATTGTATCCCAGGCACCAAACATAGTATGCCTGGCACATAATAGACAATCAAATATTTCACTGTCTGCCCAGCCTAGCTGCCCTATGTGCACTATGGTACCAGCGCTGCCACTCCAGTGTCCTTAATTATTTAGAAGACTTCCTAGGATTTCCACTGCAAGTGAGCACTTCTTAGGAAATCCTACCCACTGTAGGAAGTCAACAAAGAGGAATTTTGGTCATCTTTAGAAAGACTGATAAGAAATGAGGCATCCTATGTATCTAGAAGTTTAACAGCCATGTATCATCATTCACATACTCATTCATTCTCCAAAGATGTACTATAACAGACTCTGTTATTTGCTGCAAGGGATATAATAAGACCCAGATCTTATTCTACTTCACCTTTAGGATTTTAGAAAATAGAAGAACATAATTATTATTAATAACGATAATAAAAGATAGAAAGTGAAATATGCCTGAAATTTCAGTTACAAATGAAATGCTTTGGGAGTTCAGATGGTTAGCAATGGTTACTAGCTAAGAAAATTAAAGACCATTACTTGGAAGAGGCCATCAAGGGTAGCTAGTAGCATTCACAGGCAATAAAAGACATCTCAGGGTCAGAGCAGGGCACGAGCAAAGGGAAAGGAGCACAGAGAGGACAGCAAGCAGCTGAGAGCAACCCAAACAGAAGTTACAGAAAGGTGGTAGTGGGAAATAAGACTGGGGAAGTTGGTAAGGGTTAGGCTTTGGAAAACCTTTAATAGTAGGTAAAGGAGTCCAAACATAGTCTGTAGGAACAGGGAGCCAATAAAGATGAACTGGAGATGTCAGCGAGATCAATCAGGTTCAGTTAGACTAAAGAAGAGAGACAGAAAAGCAAAGGCAGATATAAAATATGCAAGAAAATGTGTCAGGACTCAGCAACCAACTGTATGTGTGGATGAGAGAACGCAATCAGTTAAAGGCTGTGCTGAGGTTTTGAAGCCGGTTACCAGGACGATGGAGGCATGAGGTAATTTGGGAACAGACTGAGAGGCAATAAAGCATGGGAAAGAGAGCATGGGCTCAGGAACCAGGCTGTATCGATTCAAATTCTGCCTCTACTGTATAGGAGTTGTGTGACCTTGAGCAAATTACTTAACTTGTCTAAGCTTCAGTTCCCTCATCTAGAAAATGGCAATAAATAGAATTCACCTTGGGAGGTTGTTTTTGGGAAAAAAAGAGCACACATAAAAAAACTGATGCTAGGTACCATGTCAGATATTCTGATGAATTAGTAGACTCGAGCATCTATTTTTTCAAAAAGCCTCCCAGGTGACGTGGACATACAGCCATGGTTAAGAACCTGAAGTGTATGGGGAGCAGAGCTACTGTTTATGCTGGGAGGACAGCCGTCAGTACACAAAGTCAGCGGCATCTAAGCCCAAAAGACCTGACTAACCACTTTGGCCCAACTTTGTTAATAGCCATTTGTAAGAATGGGACTGCCAGAAAAGCTACAAACACTACTTTGGGAACTCCTCCTAAGTTGGGTTTCTGAAAAGAAAATGTAGACCATGACCCACATACAAAAGGACCAATAAAGAACGGGGAGCCGAGGTTCAAGCACAACTTACTACCATTCTTCAAGCAGCTCTTCTCCAGCTCCATTAAGGTCAAGGGGATCCAGATATAAACTGGAGATTAAAGGGCCCTACTAGGACGAATTTACCAAAAGGTGGGCAATGGTCCTGGGAAGGAATGACAGTGGTATCTTCTAGGAAGGTCTCTGAGAACAAGAGGCCACCTTGGCTAAATGATTTACAGCGGGCTCCTGCTGATGACAGCAGCGCAGATGAGATAACCCCAAGGTTTCTCCATGTCCAGCTGGAAAGAGTAGAGGCTCCTGTAGTCCTGGCACCCCACCAAGCTCTCTGGGACCTACCTTTAAACTCCATGTTGGCAGCATCATCCAAAAGTTCCTCCTTCATGCTGTTAAGCGTCTCCACGATCATGTCCTTCATTTCCTCCTGCTTCCGGTTGGCAATATTCATCAATGATTCATACAACTCATTCTCCATTTTCCGCGTATATTCCAGACGTTTGGGGGTAATCTGCAGGTCCCGCTGCATGTCAAAGGCCTGGTTAATAAAGATGTCAAGGCAGCAGCAGTGCACCAGGTTCAGGGCCTTGGCTGCGTCCACCAGGCGAGCCTGTAGCACCTGGTGAGAAAATGTGCTCAAGTGTCTCAGCTTCTCACTCTGTTCCACCAGCATGCTCTGAGCTTTGGTGTCCTGGCCAGGGGCCCCCCAGTGACAGTGACTGACACTCAGATAGCCCAGGTCGATGAGTTGGCGATGAAGAGGTGATCTTTCATTCTCCAACCTTTTGGTGGAGGAGTCAATTATCTCGGAGCCCAGCTTGGGCACTTTGAAAAAGAATATGGGAAAAGAGAAATACTTTCGGATTTCCTGAAGCTCTCGCTCATCCTTCTCGGAGAGTTCGTCTTTGTGGAGTGCATAGGTTATCACAGGCAAGAAATCATTCGCCAAGTCACCCAGGACATCCACGGTGGGCCGGAGGCCTTGGCACGGAGCTACCACAACGTCCACTTCCTGGAAGGGTAACGGGTCATATCAGCACTTGAGAGTCAGCCAATCCTTGCCTCCCCAAAGTCCCACACTGACACCAAAGTCCAGACCCCTGACGGGGCATTGGACTTGGTATGGCCCAACCATCTGTCCACCTCCTTCCTCACTGCCTGGTGTGGCCCACGCTGAGAGTGGAAAAACACTCAGGTGGAGAGGATGCCAGCCCCTTCAGCCATTTCAGATGAAAAGAATGCTATTTAGTCGCTGCCTTCCTTTGTTGCTTGGAAACTTGAACTGATTCTCTCTGATAAAGAAATGAGATAAATAATGGAAAGAAGAGCTACCATGGAAATTATCAGACTGAGAGTGAGTCTTCCCTTCCCTCTTGCACTCGTCTCACCCCCCCATGCCCACGTTTCTAACCTGGCTAAGTCCCAAGCATCCTTTAAATCTTGATGTGTATGTCATGTCATACCCTTCCAGTCTTTCCTATCACATAATCCCAAGCACTCTGTACCTCTCCTTTCCTTAATGTTCAACACATTTATAATTTATTTATTTAAAACACAGTTTCCCCATTAGCCAGTAAACTCTCTGAGGGCAGCAACCATGGCTATCTTGTTCATGATTATAACTCCAGTGTCTAGCACATAGTAAGTCCTTAGTACTGTCGAATCAATCAAGCAACAGCAAACTAAAAGCCAGGTTTGCCAAACATTATTACTGTCCTATTTTAAGAGGCTGCAGGTATCCCAGAGTTTTAGCCACCTAAGTCCTGAAAATACCTTTATTCTCATGACCACTTGGTACAGCAGAGACTAAGGTTTGCCTATGCAAGATTCAGCCTCTGCAATATCTGGGAAGGCAATGTCCTCTGCACACAGTGGTGGCCAATAAAGCATATAGGGCTTCCAGGAAAGCTCTTCAGAGGGGATATGATTCCACCAAGAAGTATGCCCTTTGGCCCTGCCCGTCTTGCCTGGAGCACAGGTGTGACATGAGCGGCAGTGGTCACATGGCAGCAGTAAGGTAAACCCGCGTGGAAGCCAGAGTTGAGGGTGATGAAACAGAAAGAAATAAGGAGCCTGGAAACCTGATGACCACAGGCTGCCGCACAAGCCCTAAACTGCCTAGCTCCAGATTTCTTTTATGTGAAGGAAAAAAATTAACCTGTGTCTTATTTAAATAAGCCTGCTTTTCTGATTGTCTTTTACATATGACTGAACCCAATCATAACTGATATACCCAAGTTCCTAAAGTGAGCTTCAAGAATGATCTTTGGTTTAGAAATAAACCTTCTATAGGTTCTTTTCCTAGCCAACAGTTTCTGCTCTGTGTTTTCCCTCTTTCCTGGGGATCTTGAGGCACTTCGGAGCATATATTTCCATCCACTGCACTGCTGCTCCTCTATAGCTCTGAAATTGTCTACTGTGCCTGGCATTCCAGACCTAAGGGTTGACCTGGAGGCTCACACCTATATCACCATTGCAGGCACACCAACTCCCAACATCTTCAGGGGTCTACAAGCTCAAAAACCAATCCTCCGCTGAATTCTAGCACATTTTACAGTTATAAAAGAACTCAACATAAATCTGCCCAAGCTTACTAGATGTTGAAATTTTACTTTATTTGATATGCAATTTGTTTATTTTCTTTCAGATTAATATTCTGTTTTCATTCCTTACCTTATTTGAGCTATATGTATTTCTGATGCAAGATTTTTAAAAATCAAAACCTAGGACCTCTTTCTTTTTTATCTCGTTTGCTAGATAAGTAAGAAAGGACTGAGAAATGCCAGCCTATTGTTTCTCATACTCTGTGTGTGTGTGTGTGTGTGTGTGTGTGTGAGGGGGGGGAGAGAGAGAGAGAGAGATTGAGAAAGAGAGGGGGGAGGAGAGAGATCTCTCTCCCATTCCCAGCAAAACACAAAGGTCTCACCTTCCCCAACAAAGCACTAGTAAGTTTTATTCTAAGGTAGGTTACAGAAGTGTCATTTGGCTGGCCACTTTGAACTCCCTAAAGCTAAAAGTGCTTTCAGCATCTCACCTTTTGTATTTGAGCAAACACTGCATAAATCCACCTCTTTCCCATCCAAGCCTAGGCCAAGGAGAAATCTGCTGATTCATCTGTGCCTCGAATTGCACGGAATGTTTTCTGATTGGAAGATTAGCCTGACACTCACCATACTGTTCAAAACAAACCCTCTTTCAGTACCCTGAGTCACATTGCGAGGGTATGAATCACTTCATGAGGCAGCTTCAAAACGTGGATAAGAACCTCTAATGTTTAGAGCTGAACATATAACTACCTAAATGCCAACATTAAAATTTCATATAATAATTAGTAAAAGACTAGAAGAAAATCCCAAGAAATGAAAAGTTATAATATGGTAGAGAATTATAAATGAAAATGCTCTAAAAATATTTATATTAAAATGGCAAAGCTGTCTTAAATATGCACATGTTAAAAGATATAAATCAATCAAACTTATTATAGGGATATTATGGAATAAAGCCTAAATATTCAAAACTCAAGTAAGTGTTCTTCAGAAAATTTTCAGGAAGAATTTTTGTTTGCTTGTTTATTTGATGGATTTTCTTAAAATTCTAAAATAAATTTCCAGGTTTTCCTCAAAGGACCTTTTTGTGTGTACAACAGAACCACTGGCCAAAGCTGCCAAGTCAATTTGTAGAACCAATATCCTTTCTAAGACACAGCTGATTTTATTTGCTCAGAGGTACAATTTTTTTTTTTTAATGGATTCAAGGTTTTCTAAGGGTAGGTACTGCCTGGTACAATGGCACCTAAAGAAACTGTCCACTCCTACATATTTCTTGTACTAAAGAAAAATGAATAGAAAGCAAGTACCATGCTCTCTTCCCCATTCCTCAGTTAACTTGTGCAGTTGGTCTCACTGTTCTATGATAACTTCTAAAAGTCAGGCAAAAAAAGCTGCTGGCGGAGCCCCTGGCAGCAGTACACATTAGACTGGAATGTGATGAGATTCTGCAATACATACTTACAGTGAAGGGATGACTCATGCCCGACGGTTACAAACAAAAAGGAAGCCAGCACTGTCTCCTGGAGACAGGGAGTAAAAAAATAATAATTGATAGAGGATGGGCCGGACCTGTTCTGGGCCCTATTATGACCACCTGTGAGGGAAGTCTGACCTCAGACCGCCTGTTCCATGGAAAGCTGTTTTCCTTCCCAGCTCCTAGAACAGTGCCTGGCACTTTGTAAGCATCCAATAAATAAATGTAAAATGAATGGATATATGATGCCTTTACTGCTTGCTCAAAATCACTTTCAATAACCATGAGTAAAGTTTTCTATCTTTCAATCCATATCCTACACATTTATCTGGAATTGCTGTTTGCCTCTACGCCAAGAATGAAGCACTAAGCATTTTGCTCCTAACTCAGTCAAGGAGTAAGAACCTCAGGGAAGCATGAGAGTATCCCACAATTCCATTTTAAGTCACAGTACATTCCTAAAGAGATTTCTTTTGTGGGATGGATTCTGCACAAATCTATGGAATCTACAGAAGCTGAGGTTACCATCAATTTTCTTGGCAAGATTAAGAGAATGTAATAGAAAAGAGACTGCTACCCTGCAGACACCAGAATTCACCTCTTTGGTTTTGATTTTGACATAAATGATACAATCTTAAATGCCAAGAAGAAATCACTCAATCACTGAAGAAGCCTGACCATTCCTAAGAATGCTGGCTCTCACTGCTGAGAACTCCTCACTCTATGACCATGGCACATTACCGGCATTCAGTTATAGCTGAGGATGATTATATTCACTGATGGTTCAGACACAACTCAGATGCCATAAACCACAATCCCAACCAAAGCCCTAAGCGAGCCACAGAAAGCATCATGCTAAGAGAGGAAATATATTTACAATCCCAAACACCCCAAAACAGGGGCTCTATATCTCAACTGATAAGCATGAAGCCCTTAAGGATCGGAACTATCTTCTCTGTATTTCATACTTCGACGAATCCGGCAGCAGACAAGCTGACAAGAATGTACCGAGTACACACTATGCATTCTCCCGCGGACACAGGTAAAGCAGGGGTCCGACGCTTTACTCTCTCCCCACTCAGGACATCCCCCCAGAGAGACAAAGCAGTGGGGTGGACAAGACAGGAGGAGGGAAGCTTTACCTTTTAACTTTATGGCTTTAACTTTTGTGTTATTTACCTTTTTATAACATTTCTCTTATTTTATTACAAAAGTCCTTCATAATGAGTTATGAAGAACTTTGTCTCTGATTAGAGCAGAATAATAACTATAAGTGAATGGGGACCAGAAGGACTTAGGTTTGACAAAGGAAGGGGTTCCAACAGGGAAGGGATGGGTGACAGAGAGAATAGGAAGTCCTCGCCTCAAGGTCACTGATTAATTCATACAAAGGGAGGAGGGAACTGGCTCACTACATGCCAGACACTGTGCTGGGTGCTTTACATACACACCCTCATTTAGATTCGCACCAGTCCTAAAAGATATGGATAACTACCCCCATCTACAAATGGGGGGACCGAGCACCACAGTGACACAGTTAAGTAATGAAGCCAGGATGTAAATCCAGGTCCACTCGACTATAAAGACCACGTTTAAACAGTAACCGAAGGTCCACTGCATGTCAGGAACTATGTGTCAGGGACGGTTCTGAAAGGCGAATCGAGGTTGGACAAGGCGACTTCAGGGATCCTAACAATCCTTGGGTTCTATGTTAAGGAGTATATGCTGGCTGCAAAGTAAAGGCGAGCTATGAAACAATCCTGCAAGGACTGGTGAGAAATCACAAAAGAAGCCAGGAGGAAGTAAGTTTCCTAGTCCCAAAAGCAGTTTCCGCATGTTGACAGTACTTTCATCCTCTGAGTCTCTGAACTGAGGAAGGTCCCGTATCCCCACCATCCTCTACTCAAAGGGGAACACCAGCAGATCTGAGAGGGAAAACAGAGAGGGAAGTCATTTGGCGCAGGAAAGAGGCAGGATCCAAAAAAGGGA